TTGCAGATGCATCTCTGTCATCATCCTTCTATTGAACTTGTTCATCATAAGAGGCCCCGTTGCGATTGGTGGCCTGATCGGTCAACTGGAAGGCCATGCTGAATTTCGCGGCAGAGTGAGTTTCGGTGCACTCAGTTGTTTCCGTTTGACGACTCTAAGCAATTTGCTGTTTAGCAAGAGCCCATCGTGCAAAATAAATTTCCGGATTCCAATGCGGCTCATCCAGAGATTACGAGCTATCTTCTTGCATGGATGACTCTGGGTCCGCACTAGGTACTCCACGCGTCGTTTACATGACCTTCGTTCATCTTTCCGTCCGTTCGAGTTCTTTGTTTACTTTAGTTGGAGAGGATTTCAATGGATGCTGGTGGCATTTTTTATCTCCATCGATCAGGTTACGACTACGTTTCTGCACACCTGCAAGGATTCACTCATTCAAATTGACATTGAGTCAGAATCTTGAGGAACGGTCGTGTTTGTTTCAACACCGTATAGGTTTGATAGCTTCCAGTTTTTCTTTCACCTTCTGCTGCTAACTACTTGGCACACTTCGGCACATTCGGCATACCCTGCTCTGTGTACACCGCCGATGAGACTAACTTAGACAGAGAAAGAGAGGTCGCTTTTACTCAGTTGTTTTAGAAAATTCTAAAAACGTATTCTGCGCTAAGTAACAAACGTTTTTAGAAATGTACCATATGATTTCTATGTTCAATCTTTCACATCCCGAAATTCAACCAATTCGCGATCTGGCTCTAAATTTTCAACGGCTGGTTTCCAAAAAATCGTGCCAGAAAAATGAGTACTGTGTGAGGAAATGGAGGTTACAAATTAACCTATTGATTATCCAATTAATACTGATTTTACGAAAACAAATTTATAAGATGCTTCAATCATTTATTTTATTTTGAAAAAAGTTTGTAAAATGCTCATGGTGGTTTGGGAATTTATAATATTTGTCAAACGACAAATTAGATCTATATCTTTAATATCTTTCCGATCAATAAATGTCACTATTGGTCACTTTTTTATTGTTTTAAAGTCACTATTTGGTCCCCTTTTTTCGTTATTGTAAAGGGTGATACGGTCAAAATTTGGTCAAGGGAAAACGCGTGTAAATCGGTGAAATCGTTTATTTAAAAAATCAAATTAAATTTCTTTTTCAAGTTCAATTAGTATAAAATTCAGGAAAAATATTCAGTTAGGCTTCCGCTTTTCCAAATCCTAATTGCCGGGCCTTACGCTTGACCCCTGCCATCAGATTTTGTACAGCCACCTTGTCCACCTTCTTCGCCGCAGAAAGCCAGTTTGCCTTGAACTGCTGCTCGCCCTTAGCAGTTTTTTGGATCTTCTTTAGGTTCCGCTTGACAATAGCCCAGTATTTCTCAATTGGGCGGAGCTCTGGCGTGTTGGGAGGGTTCTTGTCCTTGGGAACCACCTGCACGTTGTTGGCGGCGTACCACTCCATGGCCTTTTTACCGTAATGGCAAGATGTCAAATCCGGCCAAAACAGTACGGAACAACCGTGTTTCTTCAGGAAAGGCAGCAGACGTTTATTCAAACACTCTTTCACGTAAATTTCTTGGTTGACAGTCCCGGAAGCTATGAAAATGCTGCTTTTCAAGCCACAGGTACAGATGGCTTGCCAAACCAGATATTTCTTTGCGAACTTTGACAGTTTCATGTGCTTGAAAACATCTGCTACCTTTCCCCTTCCTTTTGCCGTATAAAACTCCTGTCCCGGAAGCTGCTTGTAGTCGGCTTTGACGTAGGTTTCGTCGTCCATTACCACGCAGTCAAACTTCGTCAGCATCGTCGTGTACAGCCTCCGGGATCGCGCTTTGGCCGTCGTATTTTGTTTATCATCGCGATTTGGAGTCACTACCTTCTTGTAAGTCGATAGTCCGGCTCGTTTTTTGGCTCGATGCACGGTTGTAGACGATACACCTAGCTTATTTGCGGCATCTCGGAGAGAGAGGTTAGGGTTTCGCTTGAAACTACCGGCAACTCTCTTTGTCGTCTCAGCGGCTTCCGGTTTTCGATTTCCCCCCGATCCAGACTTCCTGGCTGTCGACAAACGTTCCCCAAACACTTTAATTACATTTGTAACGGTTGATTTGGCAACTTTTAGCGATTTTGCCAACTTTGCGTGCGAGTAGCTCGGATTTTCGCGATGCGCGAGCAAAATTTTGATACGCTGCTCTTCTTGCTTGGACGGCATTTTGACAACTGAAGAGTGAATTCCAAAATCAAAATAGGAGCAACATTCTACACACACACACACCTTCAAAATGAGGGGTGTTCAGGTTTTTTAAATGCAAAATTGAAAGAAATACGTCAAGTTGATATTGACCAAATTTTGACCGTATAGGGTTATTTTTGACCGCCGGGAATTGAAAAATGGTATTTGAATGGACACCCTGCATATAACTGAGTAAAACTGACTCTCTCTCTCTCTGAGTTAGTCTCATAGACCGTTTAGCAAAAATGGAGTAGCAATTTTATGAACAAAATCGCAATAGTTTCCAAGATTGGCGTTCTGGAAAATTTGAAAAGATATTGTAATTCAGGCATCAGACAGCCGTTTTCGGACTCTTTCTTGTATTTCTGTCAGCAAAAAACCAATGATTACTTGATACCTATATGAATTGTTTTAACACAATTCAATGCAAATGCTCATTACAGCTAAAATTTTGTTTTTTTTCGGATCTATGAAGCTATAAAATATTTTAATGATAATTCTTATTTGCAAGATGAAAGAATTGAAGGTAAAGTGTTTGTATGATATATAAAACCTGTCAATTTAGCTTTCAGGGGGTCACAATAGCGATTAGCTGTAACCACAGACAAACAGACATATCACTTAGAAGAAAATTCTTCAAAAAATATCGTCAAGCGTATTTTGTATGCGCACTAGCACCGTCTATCATCCATATTCCCAAGCATTGTTTTGCAACCGGAGCATCTCTCGTTCATGTAATTTTGTCACTACTTGCTTTTCCCTCGTTCTGTCAACGCGTCAGCTGTGTTGAATAAAAACAAAACAGATGGAAGTCAGTGATGTCGGTTCTACGAAACTTTCCGCAGATCTATAGAATTGATTGAATACGGATTCGTAGGAAAAATTCACAGAAGCTAAGATTTTTTCTAGGGATTTGTTTTGTTCGTTTATTGTGCTTTTTCTTTTGCTGGAAACAAGTTTTTAAACGAGATAATGCATCACTTATTAGTGCCCTTTCTAAATGTAAATGTGTCAAAGTAATATGTATGAATCAATGACATTCATGGTGAAGTATTGAACATCAATAACTGGTAAAAGTTGATAGCATATTACAGTCATCAACATGGTTTGTTCTCGAATTTTGTGTACATCGTACAACGTAATGTTAGGAACGGACTGACTAATGTGCAGCAGTTTTGATGTAATATTCAACTTTTTTTTTCTATATTCGTCAGATGTGGTACGTGTCTCCAGTGGGATGCCTTGATCACTTATCATTTTCAAGAGCTGACATCTACTAACTAGACGTGGAAAAGAACTGGCATCACTGATAAGTTCAAAATGTGGTGGCTTGCTCAATGCTTCAGTGGTGCCACCATGACAAATGCAAGCACATTCCCAACTAAAACATTATTTGCGATGAATGTGATTGTGAGTGTTATGTCTGTTTGTCTGTGCTGTAACGATGAGCAACGCGATGAGCGAACATAAAATCGCTTGTTGTGACCTTCTGAAAGCAAAATTGATAAATTGTCTATGTCATACACACACTTTACCACCCATTCTTGCTTCTTACAAATACAAATTATCATTATTGAAGAATCAAAGTGACGATTGACTCACAGATGCCGAGTGGGTGAATTGCATGACATTTTGTTTTAGTACATCATCATTTTTGTAATTGCGGATCTTAAAACTAGGTGTCGCATGACCAGTTTTGGCTTTGCTTTCATTCGCCAATAGTATCTCATAGTTTCATAATTCCGAAAAATAGCATTTTAGCTGTAATGAGCTATTGCAAGCCTAATTAAATGTCATATATCGATTCAATTAGTACAGAATGTTACTTTCAAGATGTTATTGTGCATTGCGCACATTATAAGTGCAACCATAAAGCGGGACCCAGAATACTGCGTCACCATCAGCGTCAGCGTCAAATTTGAATCTGATCCAAATTAACGAACTGACGTAGTGTCGATGTAAAGTCTCCAAGTAGAAATGTCGGTGGAGAAGAAATTTGACATGCGTTACACCTGTCATTTGACGGATGTACCCCTTCATCTACGCTGACGGTGACGCAGTATTATGGGTCCTGCTTAAGTGCGCAAACGCTTATAAAAGTGCGCTTTTAAGTCAAATTATTTTGGTGTCTTCATCGCACTTATTTCTTGGTTCATAAGGAATATGTGCGCAGAAGACACCAAGCCAATACAACGTAAAAGCGCACTTTTATAAGTGATTCCGCCCTTTTGAAGAGTCCAGTTTCAAATGCAAAATATGTACAATATAAGGAATTCGGATTGACTTTGTTCAGGATTCAAAAGCAAAATAAGTACTTATTTGTGCAGAACGAACTGTTTCCAATTTGCAAAATCCCTAGAGCACGTGTTCAGCCCATTCAATTAGGACGAAGCCCATTACCCGCCCAAGACAACCCTCTCCTCATATTATCCGATAATCTTATCTGAACGCCGAGAGTTCGATTCGCTTCAGTCTTAGAATAATTAGCTGTGGGACCTAATTGTTAGTAGGTAATGCCAAAGTTGGAGCTGCTAAATGCAAACCTTTTCAAATTGCGGGTAAAAGCTTAAATTCAAACAAGGGGGGAAATTTGGGTTAATTCAATTCCTCTGTCTACCCATCCACGGAAACACAGTGTTCAATGGTCGAAACTCTCGCTCGGTAAGGAAATGTGAAAGTGTAACAAACGAGAAAACTTTTCGATTAGAATATTACAAACCGATATTGTTTATTTCAAAGTAGGTGCAAACAGGTCCTTGCTTACACGGTTTCAACTTTTTCTGCTTTTTTCACGTAGACATTCAAGGGTGAAGCCAAGAAAATATCCCCTTTTTCTCGCTCACAGTTCGGTGTGTTTGATTATGTTCTGTTCCTGGAAGCTGCCTCGGCCGGCACTGTTCTGCTGATGGGGCTGCTGCTGATTCAGCAGCAAGTTGCTATTTGATTGGAGCTCATTATTCTCGCAGAAATGTTTGCTGATATGTTCGCTTTGATAACGACGATGATAATCATTCGATATCATCGTGACGGTAGGAGCGGCAGTGCTGCTGCTGCTGCTGCTACTGCGGCTGCTTGTGGTAGTGATAGCAGCAGCATCTGTTTCCATCTCCGTGGGATGCCCGTTGCCGGTGGGCGCTTGATTGTGCTTTCCTCGTTGGGAAGAGACCACATTTACTGCGCCATGAGGCTGATGATTATGCTCCTGTCGTGTGCTATCGTTATCGCTACTGATATGTTTCGGTTGGAGCAGTGGCTTGCTGCCGCCGGAATCGGTCTCTGTTGGGTGGGCTGTAGGTTGGTCATCGTTGTGGTGAAGAGGGATAGACTTTCGTCGTTCTCGGTGCCACCAGGTTTCGTCGTTCTTCCGGAACCACCTGTTGTATACCTGCGGGGAGAAATGTAGAAGGTATATTGAAAGGACTACATTTAGGCGGACTATCGTTAGAGCAAATTTCCCACGAAAAACACATTCATCCACGCATTTTACCTGATAGGGATCGATTTGCCAGTGCTTGTGGAAGGAGATACTAGCCGGGTCGAGGGTTTCCGGTGGGTAGTCCGAGGGACGCGCCTGGTGAAACAGTGGCGAGTGAATCGGACGTACACCGAGTCGATACAGGCAAGCCGCAATGATCATGTCATCCGGTGAGGATGCCGAAGGACACTCGCACGAGTGTAGCAATGCGCCAAGGATCCGTACACTAATCACTATTCCGCCCCCACCGGTGACGTAGTTGTAGCCCTGGCCATCTCGGGCGAGCAAATGATACCCGTATCGTTCGCCAATGTAGACGTCCTGTGCCGGGTCGAAGCAAGTCAAGAAGCGAGCCAGTGCCGAAGGGCTGCAAGAAAACAGAGACCGTTGGATAGGGAAATAAAATTGAGCATTTTATTAGGTCGTGCTTTCCTGTGAGGAATGATGGAAACGTGTGCGTTTTCCGGAGCGGTTTGTCAAAGGGGGTGGCTAGTATGATTTACGATTCCACGCTTTCGAACGGGGGTGACGTTTTTGGGGGAGGTGGACTGTTCTTTGGCAGGGTATAATGAGGCCAAGAAAGAGCAAATTAAGATTGGACAATGAATATTCTATCAGCGGCGCAGTGGATGAATGATTTCTGGAAGTCATATCGTTGTGAGGATCTTGATTCGATTTGATGGTTATTTAGCTGGATCAACATAATTTGCATATATTTACGTAAGTTCGTTGGTTCAGTCAATGCTCCTAGTTTGACTCCTTGCCGATACTAACGTGCCATAGTTTCGAAAGTTCTAGTACTTTGGCGGTGGAAATTCTTGTTTAAATTAGAAAAATTTAAAAGGCCTACAAATTCCGGGTACTCCCGGGGGATGTGGTCAGATGTTTCTTGAGCCAACACCCTCATGCGACACATAAAACTACATCAGAATTTTAAAAAAATATAAATTGATCATTGGTACTCAGGATCACGTTGTTCAGATACGTTTTTTTTTAAGTATATTCTAAATATTTTTTACAGCAATGAATGTTTTTCAATTTTTTTTAAATAAGTACTGAGGATCTTGGAGTTAATACGTTAGTATAATTTTTAACGGAAATTAAAGAATTTGCACTATTTTTTAGTGTGTGACGGAACATCAGTATTTTGATTTGGGGTTACTTTGATAATGCTCGATGAGTGTAGAAAAAAAAATGCGTTAAACTTAGACAATTTAGTGATTGAAATATGATACATTAAATGAATATATAATCAGAAAAAAATCATAAGCAATAAGAATATTTTTTTGATGGCTGTGATGGCTGTATCGGAAATCCATTTCATAAGTGATGGTTTGAGTGTTTTTTCAAACAGGCGAAAACACGAAAATTGTTTTTTAATATGTATGTATGTATGTATGTATGTAAGGTAGCCACCATCCCTTCGAAGATCTTGTCTTGTATGCAGCTCCACTTAATAGCAAGATCAATTTGAGCTACCAATCTGAATTCACAATATCGCTGTATGAAGGGCCAAAAACGGTGGGGTGGACCCGTAAGCAGAGGCACTTACGCGAAATCCACGGGAGTTTAAGAATCTCCTTCCAACGATACGATCCAACAAATCGAATAACGCAATTCGCAATACTTATTAAGCTTCCTACAGGATGGTTTGTTAAGAAGGGCGCGTCAATCTCCATGAAACTGTTGGAGTAGAATTCACACCATCACAATCGAATCGGTAGGATAAAGAAAATGATAGTGTTTATTCCCTCCTAGACTCCGGTTGTCATACCACTCCAATCGTCCAGTTCCAAGTCAAATGATACCCTGATGCTCCCTCCCAACCCAGTATTTATTTATATATCTAGTAAAAATATGTAATGGAGAAATGAAATATATCAGAACATTAAAATACGTAATAATGAAAATACATTTATATGGATACAAAAAACTGGTATTCTGCAATGAAAATAATAATTATTTTACATACAATATGATGCAGCTCTATGTCTCCTCAGCTCCCAATAAGGAAGATGTAACCCTGAAATTTCCAGGTTATATTATGCAAATAAATATTTTTAGCTAGAATGATACTTAATATGTTTGTGTTGTGTTATGTTGTGGGAGAGCTTGGGATTAAACTCATGATATTCTGCTCATTAAGCAAAACCGATCCCTCTAAGGTTATCGAGCATCTCAAAACCAAAACACTAGATGGCAAAACATGATTAAGCCCTCACCTGGTATGTAATGAACAACAGAAATACGCGATAATTCATATATTTTCAGCATATGATGCAATATCACAACTGTTGATAAAAGGAACGGATCCCATCTTATTTAAGACCTGGATGACCTGAAATGTGTGTAACCGGGTTAATACTTATTTAAATGTAATGTAATATTGAAAATGCGTTATAATGCCATGTAACAAGATACAATAAACACAAGATTTTTACAAAACAGATAATGAACGATTCAGATTTCTTTTCAAGCTGGCACTATGCTTCCCTGGAGCCGCTCATAATAGCTAAGATTAAGAATTAAGTATAATAAAATGTAATTTACAATAATATTAAATGATGTAAAGTCAATAATGAAAGATATGTAGTACTATAAACACTATACATATACGATAACCAATAGCTAGCTTAGCTTAGATTGACTGCACATATCAATGGTTGTTACTCCGTGATTGATCAGAATCAGTAAAATTGTACAATGAATCAACTGAATGGGGCTGGGAGTGACCGTCCATTCTCATTGTACAAGTTTCAGTGACTCTATATGTTGTAGATCAATAACGGCGCCGGCCACGTCCTTGCAATCAGGTGGGAGTAGGGAAGGAATATTAGAGTGACTGTAAAGTAGAGTATAACAGTTATAAATTTGCATCAACAATTTCATTTGTCGGCCCACTCTGCAACGGTGATCTGCTCCCGCAGATATCGTGAGAGGAGAGATAAGAGATTTAGATAGAGAAGATAAGAGTTCAAAGGGAATCAATTTCGCATGCAAAGCTAGTCGGAAATAAACCATTGCCAAGAACAGTTGTTTTTTGAACCTCACAAGTACCGTGTTCTTACTCTACGAAGAAGGGACTGTGACGTTGATAGTGCGGTTCGTGGACAGGAAGCAATTATCTCGAAGATAATTACCACTGTGATTAGATCACAACGAATGTGATTAAAGTGAAAGTGACCTATTGAACCCGTGAAAATCGAAGATGTTACAGTGACCTTTGTTGTTTGTGGGCCGTGTTTACCTCTGCACCCCAACAAAAGACACAGAAAAGGAGATTTTGTTAGTAAGTTGGGTTCGTTGGATCAGGATTCACCTTGATAAGTGATGCGACCATGGTTTTAAATGAATCAGTGTTATCATGCATTATACTTGGATTTGCCCGAAGCCAAAACCAAATGGTGTATCATTGGGCCTTATTTCGGGTGTCACTACACGGTGATAAGCAAGTGATACTCAGAATAAGAGCCGTGATTACCGTACATATCAAATGGGAATCACTTCACCGTGACGACAAGTGACAACTTTTCACCGTGATGTGACACCCGTAATAAGCCCCATTATAATATAAATCTGAAGACGTTCCATCATCGAAATGCTGAAAATAAACTTAGAGCATAAGCATGAGCAAAATTGATCGCCCGCGACTGCCAACACCAAAGAGCTGAAAACCAATTCAAACAAATCAAATCAACAGACAAAATCTAGGGTGAAAGCTGTAAGAGTGAATCATTACCGTATAAATCTAATGATGTTCCGTCCTCAAAGAGCTGGAAGAAAACTCAAATAATTTAATTTAATAGATCCAGTCTGAATGAAGGCTGCAAAAAGAGAATAATTATACAGCAATGACCCCCTTTTGTCAGCTAGCAAAGTATGTGTATCTTAAACATTCATCTTGAAGGAGGAAGGTATGAAATTACAATTATGTGGAATTATTGAAAAATAACAGTCTGATGCGCGCAGAGATTGACAGGATCGGGTCATAACTGTAATGTGAATATTAGGAAGATGTATCATCATCAAACTATTCTTGAATTGACCTGGAAGAATGCTTGTGAATAATTGTTATACAGATAAATTAAATTGATAAACTAAATGGTTCAAACAACAACTCCAGCCTGTAAAAAAGCTGAAAATAGGGAATCTTTACAATGTGGATCCCCCACGGTCTTCTACTCAGTAAGCAAAAGCGGCAGCCACCAGACTAGTCGAGCTGCTCAATTTAAATATTGAAACCTTATTTTGTGAAGTTCTTAAGAATACCGATTGAAACACAATGTAAACAAATAAAAGTTAAGAGTCTCATCCGAATCAAATGATTCCAAACGATACGCATTCATAGAAATTAAGTTTAAATAGACAAAAGTAGAAAAATTGAACAATCTCACCAAATCAGTCCAACTGAATCCCTTGCAAGCAGCTATGTCACGCTTGGTGTAGTAGCTCCGATCATAGACCCGCCCTACGGGGATCAATTCTCTGGTCGAATGTAGTCGATTGCTCCATGACGCGAACACGAAGCGACCGCTCACAAAATCATACAACGCGTAAACAAACTGAAATCAAAAACTATGACACGCGACGCCACAAATTTCTGTACCGGGAGCACAAATGAAGAAAAAACAAACAACGCAGATAGCGACATCTTTTCTGATGCCTGCAAACATGATGCATCACGTTTTCTTTTTCGATTCCAAAACTTCTCGGAAAGCGAGAAAACCACCAATCACACACGTATAACCGTCCGGGAGGCAGAGTGCCAGCGCTAATCTGGCAAAATCAGCGAACGCACGCACAAAACAGAAACAAACTTATGCACAACCGTATCCGAACAGGTTCGAAGCTGAACTGTCACGAAAATTGTTTTTTAATATGTTTGTAAAATATGTAACACATACAAAACTACATATGATATCAACGGAAATACCTTAATACCAAAGTTTCTAATTCAGAAAATCATTATATCATACTATCAAAGTTACCCGCAATATCAAAGATACGTTTTACGGTACCCCCGGGGAAGTGGTCGAATTCTTCTTGATGGGACACATGGGACACATTACATTACATGAGGATTCAAAAATATGATCATTGGTGGCCATATTAAGTACTGAAGACCACGATAGCCAGATCCGAGCATGTTCCGGGTTCCGGGGAAGTTACCACATTCTTCTTGAATCTACACCCTCATGTGACACATACATAAGATCATTGGTGTCCATATTAGGTACTCAGTACCACGTTTGCCAGATTCTAACATGTTCCGGATACCCCCGGAGAAGTGAAACTTGAAGCTACATCCTCATGTGACACATCAAACTACATTAGAATTCAAAAAAAAGAACACTGGTGACCATAATA